TCAACCTTTATAGTTAATATACTTTAATTTGGCATTTTCGGCAGCCTATTGCTTTATAACATTTGTACTGGTTACATTCACACTGAGCCATACAATTAAACAATAAAAAAAAAATGACATCATCAACTCATGACTCAACAACAAATTAATTTGAATATAGGTAATAATTTTGTGGCAAGAAATGCTCCCAAAATAAGGCTCAGATTGCACAAGAGAGCATCTAAACCCATGGAAGGAGGACCCGCCCAAGTGATTGCGCGCTCTTTGTCATCTGCGCTTCGCGCACATAATTGTTTAATTCTAAGGTATACTCTCTCAAGCCGGGACACGTTGCGATTTTTATCTGACAGTACCGGCGATTCTGTTGCAAGAACAAAATCGCCGAGAAATCGCACGTTGCTCTGCCCGCGTCAACCGATTTTTGATGCCAGAAACTCGTCGCTGAGATATCAAACATGTTTGATAATTTGTTGCCCATCGCTGCCAATCGCACGTGTGCGTCCGCACTGGGCGATGGATCCCGGCAACAGTTTTTTGGATTAACCAATCAAAATGCATGATTTTGGAAGCACCGTGATAAATATTGTGCAGCGCCCGTGTGTGGTTTGAACAGGTCACGTACAGTTCACACAGTGGTATGTCGGCTGACAGATGGTTGAATTGTCCCAGTGGCGCAACGGGACGTGGCGATTTTTATCCGACAGTACCCCGCGAAAAATCGACGTACTGTCGATAAAAATCGCCACGTGTGCGCCGGGCTTAAAGTTCCCAGTTTTACATGTTTGCATTTTAGTTTGTGGACCACCCTGCCAGGGTGCAAAAGTAACGGGAGTCCGGAGTCAAATACTCCCGATTTCTGCGGACTCCTGATTTGACATATGCCAGAGTCCGGCGACTCCTGAAAATTCTGCAATACTAACTACTACGATTTCGTTCGCGGAGCACGGCCTCGCGAATTACCGTATTTGGGCAGACATTCAACTGCATGAATCTTTAAAAACGAAACAACATGTATGCGTTATTGTTAATATCTTTAATTTTGAACCTCAGACTGCGGACACCGTCTTTTTGAGGGTAGGGTAGGTTAATTGGACTCCGTGTTCCAAATTAAACAAAAGCTAATTTCTACCCCTGATATATGATAAATATATAACACGTAATTCAGGCTACAGGCCGATAACCAACCTAAACGTGCCATTCGTAATATTATTTGTATTTGGTAATCGAAATTCAGATTGTGCCTAGGTCTGGCAATCAATTATAATTTATATATAGTTTACAGCTTCACTTCACTACAAAGGTTACTATGAAAATCAAAAGAGTTCAACAAGACTGCCTGAAATAAAACAGGATATTTCTTACCAAACTCAGTTATAATAATTAATATAATAATAATAAACCATAGTCTAAAACTAAGTAACATGGTACTACTATTGGTACTCTTGTACGTTGCCCTAGTCCGCAAATGCAGACGTAAACTCCGCTTTGCTAATCTGAGGGTGCGGGTTTATCCATTACTGGGGTCTGCGTCGGGCTCGGACTAACGTTGCCCTTGCTGAACTCTGTTGTGTCAACTGAACTGGTTTTTGATGGTTATATTAATAAATTCTAAAGTGATATACGCAAATATTTGTTCTACGTGCAAGTTCCGATCCATGCAATGTCGTTAACTACATCCTAACTTGTACTTTTATGGTATATTATTGAAATATCAGAATGTACAGCACTCGGTACATATTTGATTATTAAACTTACTCGCCATCTAATATAACTCGCAAGAGGGCGAATGCTAAATATCAATTGCTAAATATAACTCGGATCTCGCGAGATACCTGTAATAAATAGGGGGTGCTTTGAACGTAAAGCTTTTCAACAAGTTCTTGTTTCAGCATCCTTGCCCTAATGAGTCTTGTAATAGTTAATATGCTCTAATTCTAGCGAATTGAAATACAAAATGGATATTAGATGATGCGCGTGATTAAGAGGTGCAGACAGTTAACAGGGGGGCGAGCTTAGAGTAAGTACCTACTTCAATCCAGAGGAGACATGATACAAGATTGCGTGGCACAGCTTTGCTGTTTGATCTCGAGCGCTGCGCGGCGGATCTTGTATCTTGTATGCTGGTTCCTCTCTTGTATTTCACAAGGCACTCGAATACACGATGTCGGGGTTCATCTAGAAAACAAAGGAAACGCCAACCTCTTAATGTTTCTGACAGTTAAGGGTTAGGTTAGGTACGGGTTAGGATGAGACGCGCAGTCTCCGCGGGATATGCGCCACGCGATCCGGGGCGGGCATGTTCAAGTGTATGAACGCTGTCCGCAGTGTACGTGCCCAATTCGCAGCCCGGGCGCACGTCTCCACAGCGGTCAGCGGATGGTCTGTAGTTTTAGAATAAAAATGAAGACTCTTTGGTTCTAATAAGAACTATCGCCATCGCGGCTAAATAAGAGAAATATAATACACTACAGT